GAAAAAAAAATCAGTACTGTTAAACTTAAAAAATTTCACTAACTATATTAATATAACATCTCATCCCTCAAATATCGGAGTACCAATTCATGCCTGTTATATTTAAATCTTCAACTTATATCTTTTTCTATTCATCTTTAGATCTTTCAAGCCAAGCTAAAATTAATTTGTAATATGTTAGAATTATGTTTAGGACATAATTAGTTATTCTATAAGTGATCTTGTTTTTGTTTCCATTGACTATTTAATTGTGTGGTGCATTTCTATGCACAAGATTAGGAGCGTATTATTTAATTGCATGAAAAATATTAATATATTAAGTTTATTATAGTCATTTTATAGGATCAAGGGAGGTAAGTGTAATATTGAAAACCTCAAAAGTACTAGATGAAATTGTTAGAAACCTCGAGGGAGGTTTCTGAAATTACCCCTTTGGAAAATGCATGTAATGGGAATATACAAGAGTACATATATATATATAGGACCCAGTAAGCCAGCTAAGAGTTGAAAGTTGTAATTTTAGAACGCATAATTTTTTTTTTCGTAATCTTCCAACTAGACCACTATTATGGATAGACTTGGCATAAAAAGAAATTTAAGCAAAAAACTAAAAAAAAAAAAAAAAAAAAAAAGAAGAAGAAGCTAGGATCAGGTTGTAGTGTTCTTCCTTTTTGGGGGGCATATCGTGGCTTATTGGGTTGATACAGTTGTCCTTTAGCACTTGTAGCTTTTAGAACAAATATTCGCCCTATAATAGTACTAACACATAGGTATAAAATCTACACAATCTCCAATAGATCCGGCATTCACTAGTCAAAGGTTGCAGTTTTCTAAACTACTTGATGAAAACAGAGAAAGTATTTTGCAATTGTCTTCTCTGCCTTAGAATATATGCTGGTAATTGTTAACAAGATCCTCAATTCAAGACATGTGAAGGGTTCGGAAATCACTCTTCAGAATGATATCTGTAGTTTTGACTTTGAAAATGAACAATGAATTACTGCTGTTTCTGTGGGTAAATGATTCTGCAACAGCATTTGGGATAAAACTGTCACTCCACTGTATTGGTGAGACAGTAGTATCTTATAGCCAACCAAATCTAAATGGTGATAAACGAGAATTATAGAGTTCTCAGCCAAACAAAGGTTTCCAATCCATCAGCTTGTCACTGAGTAATCCATTTTGGTGAAGAATAAATCATACAAAGAAATACAATGCAAGCAACAACTCAGAAGATCAAGCTTGCTAAGTTGATAATCATTGAGGGAGAACCAGAATAGTTTAGTTGAGGTTGTAGCAGGTGGATCCTAAACTTGTCTTAGTCCACACTATTTGTTAAGACTCAGTGTTAGAGAGAATTAAGCAATGCTGATGAAGAGGGACTAAATGCTTCATCCTTCCGCACAATTCTCAGCCTCTTGACACTTTCTACAAAATTACTGTTGAGAATCATCAGAATGAGCGTCAGGGATCATATGATTGCTATGCTTAATCATACATTAGTTTGATCTGATCGAACTATAAAAATGATGGGAATTGAGATAAATTAGTACTGACAGAAAAGGGGAAGTTCATAGCTTAATGGCCATGTTCATTGACAACAGAACTTACTTCCAAGGAACATCGTCAACAGTCCTCCAATGCTCATCTCTGTCCCTATATAGCAGGGAATATTCCGAGTTGGATTGGAACAGTCGCAGACCATACACAGACTGTTTCCCTGGAAAATAAGAAAACTTTCGCTGAATCTTAAAAATAATAATAATAATAAAAAGCAGTTGAAGATTGTTAGACTATACCGAACATTTCTTCTAGTTGAAGTGCAAGATCAGAGTAGCCCATATGGTCAAGGATGCAGATTTTCCTGCCAACTATTACTCCATCCATGTTAACTTTCACATATGACCAACGCTCCTTGCTTTGAACTCCCTCAGTTTCATCATCATGATTTCCCACCATATTTTGTGGATAATCAGTCTTTGAATTTTTCATCCGGGGATGCAGCTGGTGCCAGTCTATCAGGACATCAAAGTCATCTGCTGTTTACGGCAATAGCAAACATAATACTGTTCAGTAATATTGTGTTGCTGTAGTTGGTAATTGCCTAGTTTCATGTATATTGTAACATTACCAGCAAAACAATCAAAAGTTGCATGCTGAAAATATACATTACTGAGATGCTGTGGTGGTTTTGGATTGGAAATTTTGCATCAGAGGGTACCAAACTACATCAGTCCACACCAAAACTCCTAGGGGTATGAAAATAGTGATGAACTAAACCTTGTATTAACAATTCGTTCCAGACTCAGTCATCACTGACGCTTTACTTCTTTGAAATGACAACTTTCATATGCTTTCTACTGCAGACATGTCAATTGCTTCATCATAACATGACTCTTTTGACTAGTTTGTAGAGTATAGTGATAGCAATAAACCTACTTCTATGAAAGGTTATATACTATTACCATGAGGAGATGGATGATAAGACTCTGGCTGCAAAACTCTTAGGCTAAGGCCCAAGTCAATGATATTGTCAGCCTCCTTCCCCTGGTAATAAACTTGGGGGAGAGTTGCATGATTTAGATGGTAATTTGATGCATTTGAATCCATTGATTCAGCAGAAATGACTATCTCAGAATAAGTGATAAAGTGGGTTTGCTACAGCATTAGACTATGACTTTCCATTTTATAAGTGTATGTGACATAAACACCTGGTGACAAAGCAATAAACCAGGCATCAGAAATGCAAGCTCAAGTGGGGACATGGAAGACAAGAAAGCCTTTATCCCATCACTAATCATTTAGTGGTAGTTATGTAGTTATGTATTCTGCCATTCATAACATGGAAGAATTCAAGAAGTTAGGAAAAGAACAGAAGAACAAGGGATGGGATAGGATGGGCCAGAAGATCCCATCAAGGGCAAGTTTGGATTTTGCATCTCTACAGTACGCCTGAGATCTTTGCTGGCAATCGAGCATGATTCTGTGTCAGTATTCGGGTAGCTCAGAATGGTATCTGCATGTCATGATACCTACTACTTGCACAAGAAGATTAATCAATCCCACAAAATGGTGCAAACATTACGTTACGATTATGTTTTACTTTTTCCAGAATTCCAGTAGCCTCAACTAGTATCATGTTAATTTCATTACTATATATTCTGCAGCAGCAATTTAGGATCCAGAATGTTTTTTCTGGGAAAATTTATCTAGCAGTCAAAACATGTATCACTAATATTCTGCAGCAGCAATTTAGATCCGCAACTTCTTTCGTATGAGAATTGATCAAGCAGTCAAAAACATACGTGATGCAGCAGCCTACAGAGTGAGGTTTTATTTTTCACGAAAATGTTTTCAGACTAATAGCTGGCCACACCAAAGATTTTTGGGCTGCGGCAATACTATTGCTAACTGCATGATAAAAGGAACCGACTTTGCTCCAACTAAGATTGACAATGGATTGATTCCGAAATTTAATTTCATGACTAGGGATTGAAATCAAAACTTGATTTCTAAAGAATCAAACAAATGAAAAGAACAAGAATTGCTCATAAAAAACGCAAAGAGACTGCTGGTATTCTTCCGCTTGAGTCATTTTAGGCCAAAATAACTTTTCCTGAACAAGGCCAAAATAACTGCTGGTATTCTAACGCAAAAGAGTTTTATCCCTGCCAAAGTGTCCAGCACGATGCACTGTTATTTCAATTGCAGCTTTTCACTTACATTGAACTATCTTAAACACGAATATTCAACTCCAATGGCCAAATATTCGGGTTCTTCTAGAGATTATCTTACAGTAGAATAGTGATCTCTGCAAGGAATTCAACTCCTATCTGAAGGAACTTCGATGCTGACAGCTAGGAGATTGTTAAAGTGCTATACATCAAGGAAAACATATGGTTTTTTGTCCTAACCCGATCACAATCTTTTCATGCCATACTCTAAGGGAGTATTGAAAATGAAGATGCATCTGTGCTCCCACATTTGACCTGACATTTGTGTCTCCAAACACTGATCAAAAGCATCTGCATTGTCTTAGGGACTACTTGTAGTAGAGCAACATGATAGGCAACATGTTTTACAAGCACGTAATTTTGCAAGGCAAGAAGAAATGCACTTTGGCTTCTCTCGTTTTATGCTCTTTTGGTCCTTACCAACCATTTATCTTCTTATGTTTCCTCAAGAAGTTGCAAACAAATGGCTTGATCCATCAATGTCCCCATTGAAAACAGCCAAAATTAGTTCAAATGGGACTAGATGCCCCACAACCCACACCGCCAGCCACCCAAAACCACAAAAATAAAAAATGGAAATGTGACTATGAAAGATCTCTCTTGAAGAAAACCGACAATAATACTTTACATCTTATAGAAGTTTTTACTTGCTTAAACTCCCAAATAAGATGAGGGAGAAATTACCAAATTTTTCTTTCCCCGGTTTTTTTTCCCAATTCGTTCAGTTAAATTTTCTCTTTTGCCTTTCTTCCCTAGACAAGTACACTGGGCTTGAGTGATATTCCTAAACAGAAGCTGAGTTAGTAGACAAATGAAATTTAACAATTAAGAGATACAAAAGAAGAGAAAATGAGATGAGTGACCAAGGCCAGCTTGATTTTAGAAAAGCCAAGGGAGAAGTAATTTTTTTCAAAAGAATGTAATGCCTCACATTTGGTGTCGCTTCAATATATTCCAGTGTTAGGTGTACGAGTTCAAACAATTATTGACAGCACAATTAGCAGGCAAATAGTACGAAAGAATATACAGGAGAAGTACTAAAAAACAGCAAAAATTTTGTTTGTAACAAACAAAACAAAAACAAGATGATGGATACTTCAGAACGTTGCATATTATTGACAACCGTGTTGTGACTTGTGAGAATATTTTCGTTCAACCCCCTTCAGCTACTGATATTGCAATAAACTTGCAGGGCTGTAATAGATGATCTACTTTGATCTTATTTTTCTGTGAAAATTTGCACTTTAGCCTCTTGTATGCCCAAGCATGACCCCTTCAATAGTTGAAGAGCCTAAGGCCAGGAAGCCAACGAGAAAGAAACCAAATGCAGCCTCAGATTTTAACCATTCTCAATTTCATTGTTCCATTCAGAGCCCCAACTTTCCTGATCTGCAGCGTTCTAAATCACCTAGCAGAAATGGTACGACTGAATCTAGAGAACCTTTGATCAGCCAAAAGCCCAAGAAAATGTTTTTGTTGGCAAGGCTTGGAGGACTGGGTTGTAAAGGGACTTCAACTCGGGTATCAGAATCGACAATCATCCGGTCTGCAGCTGATTGGGAGACTGAGAAAAGGAGGAGGAAGAACCTGGGGAATAGACCGCCTAGTAAAGCCAGGATTCCTGATAATGTTGCTGTTGATGTTCCTGATATATGCTGTACTCCTCCAGGGATCAGTTTTGCTTCTGATGTTGTTCCTAGACCAAGCATGACCACTCAGAGGACAACGCATGTACAGGTTTAGCATTTACTGAAAATTCATCATTATTGGCAGCCAAGAAAAGTTTGGTGCTTGTTTTATGATACATCTTGAATTGCTGTGTCTTTTTTAGCATTCCGTGTAGCTAGGAGAACTAGAAACATCCAGCATTTCTCTGCTTCATCTTCACAAGGACCCTCAAATTCTATATTCTCCAGAGACCATTCATTCAATGCTAGACACTATCATCAATTGGGTCAATATTCTCATAGAGGATTCATAGAGGTATAACAGACAGATGTTTCAAGTTCCTTCTGATAATTGCTTCACATTTTCAGCTCAAAGCTCTGATCCGTATTCTAATCATGTCTTCTAGGTATTTGCACTCTTTGAAAGAAGTTTAGATCAATACATGGACTGGAGACTCAATCTTGATAGGATGTCATATGAGGTATTTAGTTTCTGGTCTGGGATTGTGTCTGAAAAGCTTTTCCAGTTCACATTGCATTATTGAACACAGGCATCTTAAACTACTTTCTTGATTGCTACTGCAGGAACTGCTTGAATTGAGCGATGAAATTGGATATGTAGGCAGAGGTTTGAGTGAAGAAGACATATTCAGCTGCTTAACTATACTTGAGCCATCTGATTTCGAGTCTGCACCATTGCTGATGTCGTTGGACGAAGGCTGGAGGTGTACCATTTGTCAAGTTAGTCATCAATCTCACCCTCTCACAAACATTTTATGGCTCCAAGCCAACAAAGCAATTAGAATGCCTTGCGAATTGAAATCTTATGCCATAATGCTTAAAAACACAAAAAAAAAAAAGAGTATTAAACAGGAACTTTTGCAGAGCTAAGCTACCTTGGCGACATCAATGGTCTCCAATCAGTAGATCTTCTTCCAGTAAGAATCTTATGCATTCTAAGGCTTTAAACACAGTCTAGATGACTTCTTGAATACCCAAAATTTATGTAAACCCAAGGGAATGCGGTGACTTTGGCTCAAATCACATGGAAGAGTTGGGTCGCTTTTTCTATAAGCCCGTCATAACTCAAGTAATTAAGATTGCTAAACTCAAGATAACCAACAAAAAACAAGCAAAATTAGTTGAGAAATTATGGGGCTTTTGTATTGATCACATTACACTAGCTCTTTCAGACTACAGTTTACCAGATTATTTTGGAGATGCTTATGAATGAAACAATTCTCCAATTGCAGGAGGAATGCAAGGCTAAGGATGATGTTGGGCGACTTGGCTGTGGACACTGCCACCACATTGATTGCATAAAGCAGTGGCTTAAGCAGAAGAACCAATGCCCTGTGTGCAAAATCGCACCCATTGCTGACAAATGAAGCGATCAGTATTGTTTTCCAGCCTCACTTATCAAACTTCGGTTCTCATATACACTGAAATCAATTTCTCCAATTTTAGGCAGAAATGTATCCGATATGCCATGTCAAATATGCATAGGCAAGCACAAGTCCTTTTAATGTCCGTGCTTGGAATTTTATTTTCCCATGTATTTCCTACTTACGTTTTAAAGCACAAGTACTTGATTTCGTGATTTCCCTTGAAAGTTCAAGACGGGCAGAGAGATAGCTTTACTCCAAAACAGTTGATCAATTGAAACTCCAAATTTATGAGAGCCGTATACATATCTTTAAGAAGGCGCTGCGAATTGTGTACAAATCAAATCACATCCAGCAACACAACTCTCCCCAATACATGACGAGCAGGTAATTTACAAAAGACAGATCATGTTAACTTGTTTCAGCAATAAATTAAATCAACCTGCAATTTTTTTTTATTGCCTGGTAAAGTTTTTACTCATCATGACCCATTATCCCCACAAAAAAGAAGGGATGAAGGCAAAAAAAATACAGAATAACTACAGAATAAATGAAACAACAGATTGCCACTCGAAGCCAGGACTTCTGCTCAGGCTTCCAAGAGTGGTTGAGCATAAGCTAAATACCTACAACAATGGATTTCCTATAAAATAAAAGAACCACTAATAAGATTCTTGACAATGGAATGGTATCAGAAACATGTATAACTCAATACCGTTGCAGATAAACTTGTACGGCTTCTTAATAGACTTACCAGCAATTTTAATCTTTCATCATCACCAAAGCACACTACAGCCGACACAGGAGTACAAGAGGTTCATTATACCCATGAAGTAAGACAATTGCAGCCCGGCAAAAGAATTTTGGGGTTTAGTCATGATGGCTTAAAAATTCGATTATACACGGATAGACTTCTTCCGCGGCCTGGACATAATAGCAAAAACATGAGCCATTATGAAATGCAAATAAGTTCTTTTTGATAACCAAGAAGGTGGAACAAGGAAAGCTTATAACTAGTTACCGTTCTTCCTCCTACTAAGTCATAATGAGCATAATGCTGGCCATCCTGCTCCCCAAATACTTTGTAGCTTACCAAGTTCTCAGGAAGCAGTTTCACGGTCTCTGATCAAGTCGATTGTAAGAAAAGTTTCATATCATAGGAAAAGAGTATATCCATACGTCAAGACCTAGAAATACATACCATAAACAGCCTCAGGCGGGCAAATCAGGTCACGATCTCCTGCAATAGCTAAGACAGGGACATCGCACTTATGAAGATGTTCCTTGTAAAAAAAATTACCACTTCTGTCACGTAGTCCTCCCTCCCGAAAAGCAGTCGTCAGTTGCAACAGAAGTTTAGCAGGTATTGTGCCTGGCAATATTATGACATGACAGTGTCACGTATAAATGAAGAAGTGATAACCAACCACTGTAGCAGTAGGATAGACATCTATACTCACAGAAGTTGTTCAACACTAACTTCTTTAACAACTCTGGATGCATCATGTCCGGGGCTGATATCAGATCCACAAGCCAAGACAAGACATAAGGAGGACTAGATGAGAGAGGATAAGCAGCAGAAAGTAATGCTCCTAATGGAACGACAGGCACATTTAGAATCTGAGCGGGATCAGCCTGCACCAAATTCATTTCTTTTAGTTGCATTTCACAGTGGAATGCAGTAACATAAATGAAGGAATAGGCCAAGAATCATGTTCAACTTACAAGGGGTAGTAGTAGTTTGAGCGATGACTTAGAAGTTGTGTAATCAAGTGAAGAGGCCAACGTAACAGTAGCAGCCAATCCAGACTCCCTTCCCTCGAAGGCTTAAAAATTGAACCATATGACTTAGACAGGAAAACTCAAGCATCTATACTTCGACTCCAATTTTCTATTGAGCAGACATAAGTATGTGAATTTAAAACAATATATAAAATTAAAACAAATAATTAATAACAAAATGAGAGGATGCTAGGAGCTGTCCAACTTACAGCATAGAACAACTTTTATACCTTAAGACATCAATTTAACATGAAAACAACATTTGAGTCTTACCACATCTTGATAGCATGGCATACAACAAGATGCCCCCCATCGAATGTCCAATTGCAAGCAATTTTCCATCCCGAGATCCACTTTGGGCCCTTATATATTCCATCTACATGTATCAACAAAGATGACAGTAAATTGCCACAAAGAAGATTCACCATAATTTGCCCACTTAATCTGAAGAGAAAACTTATAAGTTGTTAATATCTCATACATTATGATAAAGGGCAAATGTCACCTCACCACCACAGGGACATCCTCTTCCAGGTAATGATCAAAGTCCCAATCGTACTTGACAATCAAGTCTAGTTGTTTCTGGAAATCTTCTATAGTTGTTGCAAGACGCTCTTGTAGATCATATAACTGAGGCGAAACAGAACGCTGTCCCTCTTCTACAATATTCACTAGCTTCTGACTTAAATCTCTTATTTGGCCAGCAACTGCAGAACTCTGTCTGGTTTCTAGTAAATTCAACAGTTTCCCCCTTACCTCATTATAGCGTTCAAATAGAAAAGAATCTTCTAATAATTTAGATATCTGATCAAATAATTTAGCAGACATAATTCTTGACTGACTTTCATTGAGAAAGCCAGAGAATCTTTCTGACAAACTGATAAAAGTCTCTGTTAGTTTTGCCACCAATTTTGATTCATCCCATGCTGTAGGAATCCCCAAAACATCTTCATTAACTGCAGAAACCTTAGATTCTGCTGACTTATTTTGGTTAACAGTTGACTTCTGCACTGCAGAGGGTGCACCATTAGTTGCACCCTCAGCTGCTGCTTCCATTTCTTCAGATATAGCATAAGCCGACTTCTCAATGTCTTTGGCATCTGACTCCTGCATGCTCAAACCCGCACCACGAACTTCAAGGATCCATGTGTCAAATCCTTGCCCACACATGTAACGGGCAAATGAAGACTGCAAAATCAGTAGGAAGATCAAGATTGATAATCTTTTTCAATCTCAGAAGCCAAATTGAGAGTATTAAACACCCTCACGCCCAAGACACAGTATACGAAGTTATCTTTAAAATCTATAACTTTTTTTTTTTAGTGCATAGAATAAAATAATTTTGAAAAACTGATTTCCTGAGATAGCACCTTTATACAAGTAAATACTTTCAATAAAAAGACATTTATATTGATTATATTTGGCATCTCAGCTCTTTATACTGAATGGATCCAAGACTTCTCTTGTATATATGTTTTCGTCAAGCTAATCCAACTTACAGTCAACTTCAGCTCCTCCCATTTCAAGTCACCAGGTGTACCGTAGATGAAGTCCAACCACAATGAAGTACTGAAATTGGCATGTATTTTAAGCTCTAACTCACAAATTCATTTCTCCATCTTCAGTTTCTCCCATTCCAAGTTAGCAGGTGTCAAAAGTGCCGGGTTAAACTCTCAGAACCCTTTATATAGCATGTTGAGGAAACGAAAAGAAGTCTCGGGTCTTAAAAAGGCATTGATGATAACAAAATCCAACCACTAGAAATTCAACCCAACTTGGCATGTTTCTTAAGCTCTCAACTCATGAATTTATGTTTAGAAAGCTCAAATTCATTTAGAAAGAGTATCTGAAAGGAAAGGATGACATGATGTTTAATACTTAATAACAAGATGGATTAAATTGGTAATGTAGATGATAAAAGGAGCAAAAATGACTGATTAAATTAACTAACTAACCCCGGGGGAGAGATCATATCCAATTGCATTAGTCCCCACCTGACAACAGTAGCAACGGATGATTCCTCCTTGGCGCCTGTCATTTTTCAAATTCAGCTAATCAATGACATTTCCAATCACAATTTCTCAATAGAGTATTCTTTTCAAAAATGGAGGTAATAAATTTTTTTCTTCTAACAAGATAAATAATTTTTGTGGACCTGAGGGGGAGGAGAGTAGCGCCAGAGAGCAAGTCTCCATTGAGAATTCTTAACGGTTACATAGTGAAGCTCATCGGCGGTGCAAATCGGCGGCTTTTCAGGAAGCTTTCCGACGCCGGTGCTCGAAGCACCGGTGGAGCTGCTGCTCTTGTCGGTGTCGGTTGAGAAGGCTTTGACTCTGATGGCCAACCTCCGCAACGGCAGCGGAGGAGACTGACGGAAAATGATAGCACGAGAAAGGTTGAAACCGGTGGAAGGGTGGCGGAAAGCGGTGGCGAAATGCATGGCTGAACGGATATCTGATTGAGCTAAAATCGTCATGGTATATTTTTTTCCCTTGTCCCAAAGAATAAAAAAAGGAACAAGAATAGAAGTACTTGTATGAATTTCATGATGATTGAATGCCGGATTTTGCGGAAGGAATAAAAAAAAAAGGAAAGTTCAAAGAAGAAAAAGAAACACTAGCTTAACCACCAGCTCTTAACGTGTTCGGGCCGGGTTGGGACGCCGGGCCCGGATCGCAGGAAATTAATCGAACCCGTAAGAATTGACCCGAATACCCCTGTGTCGAAAAAAAAAAAAAAAAAAAAAAAACCACCAGCTCTTAGGCCGGTGGTGGCCACCACCAAGCCTTTAAGGCTTTGGTAGGGTGGGAGGCAAGGGTTCAAACCTTACCTCCCACCAAATATGCTACTCTTGTGGCTCTGCTTCAAATTCAGACGGGTGCGTAGCGCACCCGTCTGGTCCGGTGGTGGTTCTGTTCCCATCGGTCCTCATAGGTTCAGTTGAGTCTCCCCGTAGATAGGGTAGGAGTAGGAGTAGAGAAGACAATCGAAAAAAAAAAAAAACAAAGAAGAAAAAGGAAAAGAAAAGAGCACGGGTCGGGTCAAATGGATGCAAAAGCCAAGGTTGCTTTAGAATACACGTGTCATGAGGGATTTGCATTACTAAAGATTCGATATAAATCCTTCATTTGAGAATCATCCATTTTAAGATTTCGTTTGTCCCATTCATTCGAACTGTTGATTGCGCTTTACCATTCCCACAAGTTATTTAGGCTCTAGGAATTTCAATTGTTACCAAAAAAAAAAAAAAACAGAGAGAAAATAAAAAAGATTTGGGACGAGGGGGTGACTTATTGTATTCACTATTCAAGTTTAATTTGTCCTTACAATATGAGCCAATTGATTTGTTTTAGTAACAAGCAGGGGCATTTTAAGACTTCATTCTGTGATATACTTCTCAACCAATATAGTAATAGTGATAAACTAAATTTGACAAG